GGATGAAATGAGCATGAGCAGGAGCAGCCAGGAGCCCCAGGATCCCCGCTCATCCAGGAGCCAGCAATCCCAGGAGCTCCACATTAATTGGACCTCCAGGAGGGATGGGCAGGATGAGCAGGGTCAGCGGCCCTGGAGGCAGCCACAGCCACTGCCTGCACCTCCCAAGGGCCTCCAGCTCCAGGGCAAGACGTCGCCACCTCCCAAGCAGCCGCCGGCGAAAGCACCTGCCCAGGAGCAGCTTGACTGAATTTACTTGACCTTTTAATTTTCAAAACCTTTAGCTGTCTTCAAGCCGTCAAGGGCTGGAAGCCCTATTGAAGCCGTCAAGGGCTGGAAGTCCTATTGAAGCCGTCAAGGAAGGGCTGGAAGCCCTATTGAAGCCGTCAAGAGCTGGAAGCCCTATTGAAGCTGTCAGGGGCTGGAAGCCCTATTGAAGCTGTCAGGGGCTGGAAGCCCTTTTAGCTGGAAGCACCCCCAAGTAGCAGTGGAAACACCCAAAATTAGCCCTTAAGTTTGAGTCATGATCTCAGGCCCGCTCCGCCCGCTACCCCGGCGACCTCAGTCCCAGCCACCACAGCAGAAGGCGACCTTCCAGGCTTGAATTATCCAAAGTCATGTATAAGCCACATGTAAAACGATTTTTGAAAACCCGTAAGCTTTCTTTGAAATCTCGGCAGCCTGCAGGAGGTCAAGCTGAGACGGAGGATCCCGCTGCCCTCGAGTTCTTGGAAGCCGAACTTGCCAAGCTCCAGGAGACCAGGCTCGAGGTGGCCCACGAGATCTACAGGCGCAACCGCGAGGTCGGATCTTTAAAACATAATTATCATCTACTCTTTAAGCAAAGATTTTATTGTAAAAAACCTATTATACTGTTTCCTTCTATTCTGAATTCTAGGAATATACGATTTCCAAGGCCCAGCTCCAGGACGAGCAGGAAAACGAAAGGCAGGCCACAGAGACGGAATTCCAAGAATTCCAAGAGTCAATGGAAGAAGTCAAGGCGAACTCTGATGCCGAATGGGAGGAAAAAATGATAAAGGAGGTGGAGGAGAGGAGGGCCAAGAGGTCGAAGACGAGGAGTGACGCCGTCAAGCGCCAAGACATCGACAGAGAGCTCTCCAAGCTCCAGGAAGCACACATCTCCAGGTACGACCGGGACGTGAGGGACCAGTTGTCCAGGTTGAAGTTGGAAGTCTTCAAGTCCAAGGACCAGGACTTCACGACCAGGCTGGAGATGGAGACCGAGAAGCTCCTCAAGCTTCTTCCACGCACTGAAGACTTGCTGGAAGCTATGGACAACCTCAGGTCTCAAGTCGGTCTTCCCAAGTCCGACCGGTCCCAAGTTCCCCAGAGCCATGATCTTTTGGGTCTTGGCCAGGACCAAGCCCCGCCCCAGGAGCTTCCCCAGTTTGGCAGCCACCAGGAGCCCGCCAGCCACCGCCCGGAGCAGACCACGGAGCAGCCCCCAGGCCCAGCAGACGGTACTGACAACACCGGCCAAGGGGATGGCCAAGGGGATGGCCAAGGGGATGGCCAAGCGGATGGCCAGAACCAGCAGGGGTGGACCAACTCCGGGAACCAAGGTGGCAACCAAGGCGGCTACCAAGGCGGCAACCAGGGCGGCAACCAGGGCGGCGGTTGGAGCAACTACAACACGGGCAACTACTACCGCACCCAAGGCCAAGGCTCCTCCTCCCACGGCTACCAGCAACAGCAACAACAGCAACACCAATCGTGGGGCTGTGAGCCAGGAGAAGCCCTTGACAAAATTCCCGCCTGGCTTCCGGCCTGGATCAATTCCACAGGCAAGCAAACCCAACACCCTAGACCCTAAGCTCAAACTACAAATTAAAGCCCACATTCTTTTGTTCATCCCTTTTCAGGTGGCGACTACAAGGGCGACGCCGAACCAGAATTCATCCATGCATTCGGCTGGGACTGCTTCGCCAAGTGCCGAAGCTGAGTCTTGTTTTGTATTGGAATCGCTTTCATTGCATTCGTTAGAACCCATTCTTACGTCCAAGGGCTGGAAAGCCCTAGCTAATTATTTGATCTGCAACTCAGGCGCCAGGTGCTCGTATGTGGGCCAGCGGAGCGTTTTGAGGTGCGCCACATGCAGAGGCTGCATGTTCAAGGACTGCTACGACTACAGAGAGGACAGTGCTGTCAAGGACCTCTTCAGGAAGTTGTGGCCATCTGAGCCTTGGAAGAGAAGATGATCTTTAATCCACACTCCAGGTTCCAGGTTTGCCCAAGCTGTCTGAAGCAGCTTCTTTTTCAAGCACCTTTTCTTTGAGTCCAAGCCACGTGCGGCAGAGGACCAACTGTCAGTGTAGGGCAATGTTTTGCAGATCCCAAGCTTGTAAGCGAGTAAATGCCAATTCCACGAACAACATGAACTACTCATTTATGTTTGTGTTTCATCAAACCAAAAAAACTCGTATACTCAAGCATATGCAAGCTTATATCAGGGATCCAAGTCTCGTACATTAACCCG